GGTCCATAGTGTGTGGACAGATTTCCTGCACTCTCTCGTATATCATTCTTTCGGTGACTGTTATAAATAATCTTATGAAATATATGCCTTGTATTGTATTGTTTCACCTTGCACAATAAGCCCCAAACCATAACACACAGCAAGTACATGTTAAGTACCTGTGTTCTGCAGTTTACTAGGCTAAATGATGGGTATGAAACAGAGAACAAAAGTGAAGCAAATAGAAAATTGCGGCTTGGAGAACTGAAGACCAAGACACTAGAGCACACTGTTCACGGAAAAGCTGACCACAGACGTGTGTGAAGACGTACAGGAGGCTTTGGGAGCGAAGAAATTCATTTTTGGTTTTACATTACGAACAAAGGAAAGAGACTAAAGGATTTTAACTGAAAAAGTGACTGAACATACACGCACTTATGCTCTTTGGATGTGTTTACTCTTTTCAAACTGCAGGTATATCTTACTGCAGTTTGGTTTTTGCTTTGTTTGATAGTTTTTGTTTTGTTTTTGCTTAAAACTCTGAACACTACATTGTGTTACCATGGTGGAAAATACTTATAAAATGTATGACTTTAATAAATTCCCCACAGTATGTTCAACCAGAGTATGACTGTTATATTCATGTATCCGCAAAAGTTTTGAAATTGTCTTTGTGAAATCCGTTATGTATTTGTTGCTTTTGTTTACATTCTCAATTTTTAAAGATGACTTTTTAATGCCGTAAAACTTTAACTAATGTATGGAAAACAGACTGTAGGGAGTAAAGGGGAGACAGCACAGAGAAAAGGAAAGAAATGACAGTCACTTCAGCAAGGATGCGAGTGCTGAGGATGACGCCATGTGGTCTGCTGAGTTTTTGATGAAACTGGAGAGGAAAAGTGAAAGAGAGAAACACTATTACTCTCCTCCTTTTATTACTTTCAAAGCATTTGACAGCATTTCAGTGTAATAGGAACTCAATGATAAAAGCGTATGCTTATGAAAATCATTCTCAGCATTTCCAAAGTCTTCTGTCTCAACATTTTTTTAAATTCATGAAACCTGTGTAGAAGGATAACTGAGTTCTAATACCCATGAATCATCAAAATGTAAAATGCATTTTAACACAATTGGTTTAGTTGCCAGCCACTTCATCTTAACTAGAACGTTTCTACTGCACGTTTAAATGCTACTGATTTTCAAAAACCTTCACGAATACTACATAACAAAATTTTCCTTTGGCTACACAATTAAAATGTAAGATGTGAGTCTTATTATCCAGGAGAAAGGAAAACAGTTCTCTAATTTCCTAAATTCCTGTGACGGGTAATTTATAGGCTGTTAAGCGGAGCACACAGCTTCCCAAAAACCATCTTTTGGTGCGGAGTGGCATCGATTAATTAATCAAGCAGTGTTATTTTTCTCCACCATATTACTTTCTCCTGTGCTCATCACGATGGCTCTGAGAGTGCACCGGTGAAGGCAGGAGACTGAGGTCTGCAGATAGGACCCGCCCCTGAGTGATACCTCAAGCACAAGGCTGGTTTCTTAACATCTACCTGCGCTGCAGTCATCAGCACTCTGACAGACTCTCGATGCTTAAGGAGACAAATCACATAATACCTGTTGAGCTGCTTCAGAGAAAGCTGCCGTGTAAACTCAGGTGTCTCAAATTATTCCAGCAACCTCTCCAAGTCTTTTAACTCCTGGTACTGGCACAGGGCCTAATCCATAAAAGGTACTCTATAATTATGTTCACAATGAGAAAGAAAGAGACAGGAAGAGACAGACAGCCCACTGTGGAAAAAATAAATAAGTAAGTTGAGTTTTTACTGCATTCATTTAATTTTTTTGATACATGTGTTCAGTTCTTTGGGGAAAATTCATTACTGAGTTTTCTTATAAGATCTGAAGCAATTCAAACCACTAGAACATTTACAGATACATTGTTTTAGATATTCTATCAGCACGTGAACCAATCAGAATATTGTGGAGTCTGGTAACCTGAAATTTAACAAGTGCCAAATTATAGCCCTGTTCCAAAACAACTAACCATATGTAGTTAAAAGAAGTCATAAATACAGAAAAAAAATAATAAAGATAAGTAATATTTCTCTTCCGAAATGTTACAAAGGAGTGCAAGACTGATTGTGAATGAAAGTACAAGCAAAATGGGTAAGAACAGTGAAAAGCCAGAAAGTCTTAAGGTTTGCGGATGGCAGAGGAATCCTAGGTTCTGAAGTCTTCGTCTGGAAAAGCAGAGCTATCTGAATAAGTAAGGGAGGAAAGGATAAGTTGATGAAAGCTGAGTTTTTGAGAAAGAAGAAAAGAAAGAAAGAAAAGAAAAGAAAAAACAAAGAAAAGAAAAGAAAGAAGGAAGGAAAGAGAGAGAGAAAGAGAGAAAGAGAGAAAGAGAGAAAGAGAGAAAGAAAGAAAGAAAGAAAGAAAGAAAGAAAGAAAGAAAGAAAGAAAGAAAGAAAAGAATCAGATGCAATTTAAAAGGTAGTTTTCCAATAACCCTGAAGCTATCCAAATGCAAGGTAAGTCTGTACTTTTTTCTAGCTACACAGTGACCTGGTGAGCATTTATTATTCTACAAACCATACCTCATGTCTTCTTATTCTTAATTAAGGGAGCTGTAAATGCTTCTTCACCATAAAAAAATGGTAGTGAAATGAGAATGATAAAGAATCAAAGTACCACCATTAGTACCTATCAGTAACTATCACAGTCCACAGAAGGGAACATATAAAATACAGGGGAGGTAAGATCATTCATTTTACATCATGGCTTTTCATCATCACTTTTTCTTTTCTTTTTTAAATTTTATTTTAAAAATTAAAAAACTGACAAAACAATGATGAAGACAAAATCAAAACAACACAAAAAAAAACAAAAATGATACATGACCTCAAGACAAAATGATAGAAATTTACAATGGCTGTTAAATTACATACTGTTTTCGTCAACAAAGTTGCTCAGTCCATTAGACATAAGAATGTAAGATTGATCAAAAATCAAAGACAGTAACAAGGGGGCTGGGGATTTAGCTCAGTGGCACAGTGCCTGCCTGGCAAGTGCGACGTAGTGAGTTTGATTCCCGGTACCAGAAAAAAACAAAAAAACAAAAAAAACAAAAAAAAGACATGAACAAGTAAAAAAATAAAAAACAAAAATAATTTTAAAAAACATTGGAAATGACGCAAAGCTTCACCATACAAAATGGTAGGAATTCAACAATGGTTCTTATACTGCATACTGTTTTCAGATCAGTCATTCTAATTACCAAATTCAAATTGGTCAAGAAAAAAGAAAATTGTAAGCATTGACTGTTCCTCTCAGTGAACTACAGACATCAGCAATACACCTATTCCAGCTATCCTTATACATACATATAAATTTTTTCATTTTAAAAAAACCAACATAACAAAAACAAATATATAAACAAAACAGCATAGAAAGCAATAAAAATGGTAAGAATTTCAAAGCATGGAGATACGATATTAACAATGGTTGTTATACTACACAATATCATCTTCAAAATGGTTCCACAGAAAACAGATATAGGCATGCAAGATTGATCAAACAATTACACATTAACAGTTCCTTTCAATAAACCAACAGATATTAGTAGTATGATTATCCCAGCTATCCTGTGTATATATATACATATTTTTTTCTCTTTTTTCTTTTTCCTCTCCCCTCCTTCATTCCAGTTGCTCCTCCCTATTTGCACAGTTTCTTTTCCCTTTCACAATATCTATTGTACCTTTCAGATTTTATTTACTCTTTCAGGTTCTTATAGTAAGGAGGAAATACAATGTTTACATATGTGAATCTGATTTATTTCACCAATGAGTATGGTCTCGAGTTGTATCCATTTACATATAAAAGCCTCTAGTTTATCTTTCTTTATAGCTGAGTAATACTCCATCATATAAAAATACATCACTTTTTCATAAGGAATCCTTTAAGTCACCATAGTATTCTAATGTTGATTTTAATATTCTAAAGGAAGACAGGAAACCATGCACTACACAAGGCTTTTGCATACACTATCTCATTTAATCCTTGCCACCTGATAGATAAGCCTCATTGTCCACACTTTACTGATTAAGAAATTAAAGCATAAAAAGGCTTGGATACATGTGAAAACAGCAAGCACTAAGACAAATGCGCTTCAAATCCATGTTGATCTGCATCTAAGGCCTCCGCTTGTGCACGTTTCCACACTGGTTTTGGATCATCTAAGAATGCAACTCCTAGAGGGTTCACATCAGCTGCACTGATTATAGTCTGTGTTAGAGAAATAAAAGACTATACAAGGTGCAAAGAAGGATACTAATCCGAGCAGCTTTGTTTTCTCCTTCACTCATCATATATTTTCTGACTGACCGAACTGCTCTCGCCACACAGATCGTGGAGAGGTGCAGACCACTGGAAGGCTTGCCCAAAGCCCAGCACGCTGGACTCCATTGTAAGAACTGTGAAGAGTCAGCCCACAGAGACACAGGGAGGCAGTCAGGGCAGTGGCTACGGAAAGCGCCTGACATTAAGAACAACGATAAAAGCAGAAATATCTGGCTTGGTTATTGAAAGAGGGAGGCTAATTACATGATTCAAAGGTTTCTAGCTTACATAAGCACATAGGTAGTGATAACAGACCTTAACGGAAGAGGAGAAAAAAAACCCTGGGGTTCAAATAAAGGGGAAATAAACGGGTTTCATACATGTGGAATATAAGTAGAATACCTAACATATAAGTAAAGATAATGAAAGAAAATGCACTGTATATCTGATTAAACAAAAGCCCTGGTCACAAAATATGTCTGTTAGAAAATGTGCATTTTGAATTGGGCATGGTGGCACATGCCTGTAACCGCAGAACTCGAGGGGCTGAGGCAAAAAGATCGCCAAGATTCAAGACCAGCCTGGACTACACAGTGAAACCATGTCTCGAAAAAAAGTGCATTCTAGTTTCTTGTATATCTGTTCTAGATGATTCCCAACATTTTATGTCACCCTGTTTTCTTTTGTTACAGTTAATGTTAGTAAATATTGCTTGACGAGATAAATTAGGTCTGTTGTTCTTTTCTTTAGTATCCTATAGTCTCTGCAAGATGGCAGTTAGTACTCTGGCTTCTGAGTTTCTTAAAGGTAGCCCTATGTCTTTCTTGGTTTCTATTCAAACTCAGTAGTTACTAACTGTCTTCAAATAAGTGAATGAATAAATGAGTTAAATATGTCCCTCAGTGACACCAGAAACATAAAGCTGGTTGATTCTCTATAGTGTCCACTATGATGTCTACTCCCACCATTAATAAAACTGGGGAAGCCTTTACATCTCTCTTACTCGAGTCTAAGACGTGTTATTTGATGCCATTTTTGATGGAGTCCACTATTTTCTGCTTAGGTTCCCAATTATATTTCAGATACTACTCTCTATTTTACCATCTTAATATGTGAAGCACACAAGATACAATCAAAGTAAAGGAATTTGCGAAAGATAGGTGTCAAACTGGTACAAAGATCAGGACTATACAACATCATGATAATAATTTCTGTCATCTTTAGGGATTCATGATCACCAGTCTTGAAGAGGCAAGCCAATTAACATGCAAAGAGCATCTAATTTGCTAAGAGTGCTGGGAACACTTCATATGGTGTTTTATCCCCATAAACTAATATAATTAGTATGTAAAAGATTTATAATTCATCTCATGATTAATCCATTATAGAAGACTATTTCCTAACAGCACCATATCATTTTATATTGGAACCCTCTTTGCCCTTTAGGCTACTCAGGAGTGTCTGGACTTCATTTCTGCACACTGCAAAGTTAGAAGACTGGAGGTCCAAGGTAAGTGATATATGTCTGTCATCAGTGCTGCCAAAGATTATAAATACTGAAGGACACACTGACCAGTCAGGCCAGAACACTCAGACGAAGTTCAGTTCAGGGACAAGCCTGAGGAAGAAAAGCACAAGCAAGCACAGAGTGGCTTTTGCACATTATTACCACTTCGGCTTGAACGTTATGGCATGGTGATAACTAGAATAACTAGATATAATCATAACTAGAATAATCATAACAGCATAAATGACATGAATAATGCCTGTTTCTAGAGAATTGATTAAGCTATTCCTAATAGAAAAATATGCTTTGTTCCAAAATAATAAGTAAACTAATGAAAAATATGATGACTGGCTATCTTGACTGTCACTTCTACTGGTACAACAATCAAGCAAAAAATAAAATATTTCCTAAATAGTCACTATTTCTCTAAAGTGCCCTGGGATCTAAATTTTTCAGTGTGTATGAGCATTTCCTTTAAATACTTCACCCCAGAGTGCTTTACTCTATTGAGTTGTTTTATCTTTTGATTTGTGACATTTTTTGTTATGCTTTTCACAAAGTTTATGTCTGCGTTTTGATTATTCCTCTTCTGGTTTGGCAAGTCCAAGGCAGTTCTTTGAAATCTTCCCCGAATTTGGTGCTTAATATGTCATTTGGAGAATATCTCCCACAAATAGTTTAGTATCCCAATGTTTTTCTATTTGACATATCACCTTAATTACAAGGCTATACTAGAAAAACAATTGCAAAAGTCAAAGTCAGAAAAGTGTACTGGACACAGTAGGTACCCAAGAAATGTCTGAAAGTGAAATGTGCATTAATGGCATACATCTAAAACACAAAAAGAACTGGAAGGTGTGCAACGAATGCACAACAATAACCTAGCTGTTTATACTCTTATTTTATAGATGAGCCTTTTTACAAACATTGAGTTGCTAACTCTTCTGTGTGAAAATTCTGATTTTAACTCTAATCATTCAGTCTATATTATAGAGAAGAAACATATGAAAGCTCATTTTATAAAGATCAAATAAAGTAAACTGAAAGCTGAAAGTTTTCTATACAGCTAAGGTTCACAAATAAAAACAATTACTTTCCCAAACATGCTTCCCTTGGTCACAACCTGAAAAGTTATACTCTTTTTTTGAAATAACTATGAAATATTGCATAAGTAAAAAGGGAAAACCAGTGAAAAATACCAAGTGCTAAGTAAATAATACTGTTAGGATGATCTTAAGTGAAGTAAGTACTAAGGACCTTCAATACAACCTGTTTCACATAATAGCTTTGTGAGATGTAGTTCTCTTGGGTTCATCTACCATTCCATAGTGTGCATCATCTCGAGTACTACACAAAGGAATTCAAATTTCCTAAACCACATTTTCTCATCAAACAATTGAGCACAGGATATGATCACGTGACCTGAGCTAGCCAATCAAAGGCTAATTCTGAGCCAGTACAGAGCTGGTAATGAAAGAAAATCACAGTTGCTATTAGTGATGAGCACGGCCTCCTATTGCCCACAGCGGAAGCAACCTCTAGTTAGAAAATGAAAGCATTCTCCACATAAATGGTGAAAAATTCTATTGATCTAAGAAAAAGGTTTAAAAAATTCTTTAATCATGTTTCACTCCTTCTCTCCATTCAATGTAGAAAAAAGAACTTAAAATGAGTATAAAGGAGTACAAATTCTAGTACAAATATGTACTAGAATCTCACTGCAGACATCCTTCTGACCCTCCAGTCACTTCAATTTACCTTTCCCTACATGTGTGGGTCACATTTCTGAGAATTACGTGTCACAGTGAACATGGGTTGTTCGAAGTGTCCCTTTTGCATGTAGCCCACAGCAAGTAACCTCCTTGGTTGGTCCTGTTCTTTTTTTCTTTCTTTCTTTCTCTATTTGTACATAGTGCTCTAGGAATGCTAGAAAACAGGCAGAATGTCAAGCAAGAAGCAAGAAGGGAGTCCAGACTTGGCCTTTAAAGGAAAAAACACCTGAGGTGAGCATTAAAAGATGAGCAGAATATTGAGCCACGTGTTTTGAAGGCAAGGATTAGAAAGAAGAAGGTTTTACGTTTCTATTCATACTCAAAACGAAAAGCAGTTACTGAGAAACATATATGGCCACGTTCTATTCAAATAAGCAAATATGTATCATATACATATGTATACACATATATGACATTCATTTTATACATACACATTGTGTAAGAGGCTATCTAGTTGATAAGTAATAAAAAGATGAACTAGACTTGACCTTCTGCCCTTTATCTTTGCATCTGAAAACAGAAATATATGTAAATGCTTACAGTTATATGAGAATACATCTTTAATTTCAAGTGAGAAAATGTCTCCAAATTTAGACTTGACATTCTGCCCTTTATCTTTGCATTTTTGAAACAGTAATATAAGTAAACGGCTGTAGTTATATGAGAATAAATGTTTAATTTTCCAATGATAGAATGCTTCTAAATTTGCTTAATTGCAAATTTATATTTCTTGCCGTTATCACCCATTGTTCAGAGATTACACCCCTCTTTTACTAGTTCCCTCTTTTACTAAGTTCCCAAAGTAACACACACTTGGATGGGACAAGCTAGTAACTTTCTTATAATAATAGCTCCTCGTCTTGAGAAACACTTTCAAAGAAATTTTAGTATTTTACCACTCCATGGCAATCAGTAACAAGGCGAGATTCTCCCAAGAATATTCCAACAGTCCTTGAGAAACTAAGACTGTCTATTCAAAACCTGAGCATCTGGCAACTCTGCCACCGTGAAGTATCCATATGGAAGAGACCAAAATGTGTCAAAGTACCCAAAACGATTTTGGGTAGTGTAGAAGATAGAATAAATAATTCAGTATCGTCAACACTTTCAACAGCAGGTAGTGGATATGCTACCTGCTTCTATAATGTGCCAGAAGGTAACAGAAGTGTGTGAGGCTGTGTGTGTGTGTGAGGGAGAGAAGGCAGAGAAAATATCAGTATACATAAGGATAAAAGCTATTTTTGTACAGAAATATTCTTTAGGTAGAATATTCTCTTTGTAGAGATAGCAGATCTCTCTAAGATACACAGAAGAAAATATGGAGCCAATAAAAATTATATTTAAGATAAATATAGCAACAAATATATTACCTTAGACTCAATGGAAAAAAATGCATTAACTTAACATTATGGTTGAAATCGTATGTGCAAAAAAGTCAGAAAATCCAAAATTATGGTTCCCTCAGCAACTATAACTGTGTCCTCGTGCATATACATTTTGCATTACTGTAATGATAATACATTTCAATCTTAATATGAGTTTATGCAATGTGACTGAATTAGGATTCTTCTGGGAACTATAACTTTAGATTTCTGGACTTTTGTGAAAGTAAAATCTTAACCAGAAAGTCACATTAATATAAGGTGGGGCTTTTGCATTTTATTTTCTAGCTTTTAAAGAAAAGCAAAAAAACTCTGCATGTTCGACAAAATCAAAGTAGCAAAAGATTGATTGATTCCCATTAATACAAAAGGGATTCACCAGAAAGCCTAATACTTTAATATAAGTACACACAAACTAAAAAAAACCTTTTTTCTCCTAGAGATTAATCAAAGAAAAGAACAGGCCCACTTAGGAGTGAATAAATTTACTCCTTCTATAAAATTTTAGTTTCTGATTAGAAAGTAATTTAACTCAACTACATTTTAACATGGATATAAATAAAAGTGCCTGAAATAATTCTCTCAGCACATATTCCTACATCTCATCAAGGAAAAAAGTGTTAAAATGGTCCCCTATATTTTCAATACAGTAGAGCTGGTTGAGAGCCACTTTTTCTTCCTGAACATGTAACATGGCAGGACATAAACTATAAGATGAAACTGCAATACTGTCGCCAACCATTTTTCCTTCATGGGGCTGGATCTGATTCAAATCTGATTCAGAAATGGAAAGACACAGACCCACAATGATCCAGGGAAGCTTAAGAAAGAGGTAACTGCACTTACACAACTGCTTAGGTATTAGAAACCCATGGAGTAGTTCAGAAGCGAAGAACAGGAAGACTGTGGATTCTAAAGAATCTTTACAAGATTCACAGGAAGTTAAAAATACTTTTATGCAAATGACATTTTCAATGGACTTCACAGGATCGGGAGAGAACAAAAAAGAGGGGAAGGGAATGGAGCGGAGGGGATAGGAGAGGACAGAAGAGGAGAAGAGAGGAGGATATTATAGACAGATAGCAGAAGCTGTAGAAACATCATCCAGAAGAAAAAGTGACCAACTCACCTTTGAAGAAAAAAGAGTTTGCTCAGGAAGCAGAAAGATCATGAAGGAGCAAGTGAGTTCGTTAATTTTAAAAGCTATCAACGGACATTAAGGATATACTGCAGAGGACCTGCTAACAAATCTTAATCACACCATGTAGACAATGCGCGAGGAGGACGCTGAAGTGTCAGGTGATATATTATTAGGAGAAAAACAAAAGTCAAAAATTTTAAACCTACAAAAGCAAGACAGAAAACATACTAAAGAAGTAAGACTTAACACAGGGGGGACTAGTTATGAGATTATAATAATCTGAACAAGTAGCAATGAAAGTGTGAAGAAACATGGTAACAGGCAAATCCAAAAGAGCAGGGACTGAACAGGTTTTCCAAGATTTTGAAATGTAATGAATTTTAGAAAGATCATTTCAGCAATAAAAATGTACACTCAAGGCTGGTTTCTCATGTAAGAGAAAGAAATAATTCCATACTGTTTGCTAAATCCTAAATTTAAGGTATCAGAACTACAGAAGAAATCATTTTCTAAAACACTGGAAATATGATTTAGAGCTACTGATTATAGCAATAAAATATTTTATATTTATATAAATTACAAGCTTATACTTCCAGTATCTCTTTTTATCTTTACAGGGCTGGAAATGTACAAATAAGAAAACTGAGGCTCAGAAAGGATCTTTTTAAACCTTACACAGGTATTACACAACGAAGTCAGAAGACATAGATTTTGGGCACCCCGGGTATAGAAGTCACTCTGAAGCCAAAGATAAGGCCATCAAAACTACGGAGAAAAGCTAAGCGAGATGTCTGCAGAACCACAGGGAAACCTAACACTGCAGAGCAGTGAGTATTCAGGAACCTAGCAGATGGCTAGGGTGCTTTGTAAACTGCTACGTGTACGGCACTCAACAGATATTCAATAAGCTCCAATCACATGAGCAGCTAAAGGGAAGATAGCTCTCAACAGGATTTCTGTATCTGTGATAGACACAAGGACTCATTCTCAAACTTAAGAAAAAAAAGAATCTACTTTCTCAAAAGAATTCTTAGATAAAACTCTGAGATTTAAAGTGCATCTCAGAGTATAACAGGAACCAATGATCTGGAACTTGTGTTGACTCAAATTCTTTCTCTCTGATAATATTTCTTTTGGACATTTAGAATAATACCTGGGACAATTCTATGCAACTCCAAAAACAAAAATGCTAGAAATCCTTTGATTTAGTAATCAGGTGACTTCATTTTGGACTCCTTGAGTACAGTGTTAAAGAATAGGTAACTGTTGATTTGAACATATTAAACTTAGATCAAGTATCAGCCTGTCTGACTAGACTCTTGACTGCCAGGGTCCTCTACTAGCAAGAATCCTTTGTGACCTCATTCTTGGATTTTTCTATGCTAGTGTCTCGTACTGATTATAACACATCATCATGCTCCTTGGACAATACAGTTGTACACAATGGAAATGGTACATCTGGTCAACTGCCTGTAGTTGTGTTGCTCCAATACCCTGTTGCAGAATCTCCCTATTTGCCACATCTTATAAGAAACTGGCCATACTGAATTATTCCACAAAACAGCCAGAGAGTAAAAAAGCAGCATAAAGTCAGGAGGTTAAAATTCAACAAGTGAATGCCCAAATTTGATACCTTAGGTAAAAGGGGTTTTATATTTTAATCTTCTTACTAGTATGGCCAGTTACATATGTGCCTAGCAAGGAAAGAAATTAAATGTCCCTACAGTTGAAAATATGAAAAAATTATTAATCCTTTTTAATAACAGACTTGACAATGTTGTCCCATTTTTATATAAACTGTAAATGACAAATATATTCTAATTAGATAATGAAATAGTAATCATGATTGTAAAAAATCCAGCATCAAGTAGTGAAAACATTAGCAATTGTAAGATTTCATTATGGCAACTCAGCGGTAACTCAACACAGATTCCGCTGATGTAGCTCCAGTTTTAACTGTCTGGATCAGTGGACTCTTTCATTCCACGTGTTGTAGTGAAGTTGAACCTCAACACAACATGTACAGTTTTCACTAAACAGCAATGTCTGGACACTATGCTGGCATCTTTTGTTCAAATGATAGACAGTTCGGAATAAAAGGGACAAACAGGACTAATAAAAATCAGTGAGTGTAACTCATGCTGGTGGCAGCAGAGGTGGGACACACACAGCCAGACTGCCCCAGGCAGGGACTCTGGCGACCCAGAAAGGCAGCCTAGGCAGGCCGAACGGCCCCAGGTGGGGACCACTCAAGACTCAGGGGTGGACACACACACCAGCAGTTGGTAAGTCAGGAGAACCACAGTTGTGGACAGGCAGAATACAAGGAGGCAGGTGGAACCACCATTCTTTCCATATATATATCAAAGGGCTGGGGAGAAACCCAGCAACAGAACGCCAACTCCAGCCTCCACATCCAGAGGCCGAGATCAGCCCTATACCCAGCACAAATGCCACTGTAAAACTGGCTGCAGTACACAACACATTTTTGAGATCAGACTTGGACCAACCACAGAACTGCAAACACCAGAGGAATTTTACTCCGTTTATTTCTCTACATTTCTTTGATCAGTTTTCCTTTTTATATGCAGTTGAGGTCTTTTTTTTAGTATAATTTGGTCTTGTTTCATTGGGGGGGTATTCTTGTTTTTTGTTTTTAGTCTCTTTTTTCTCTTTTTCTTTAAGGTCTTACATTCACTATTTTCCTTTATGTTTTCATCTACTTGTCTTTTAATTCTTATTTGATTTTATGACACTTCCACATGAATAAACATTGTCTCTTCTCTGCCAAGTTCACTTCAATACTCCTCTGCCCCCTCTTGCATTCTTTCCCTCTTCTATCCTCCAGTTTCCCAAAGCTTGTGTGATCATGCTCCCCAGCCTTGCTCCTACTATATGGCACCTCACTTATCTATTTTGCCCCTGTCCCTCTTAATACCCCCTCCCTTACAGGGTACAATTGCTCCACTAAAAGGAAAATCACTGCATACAGATTATTGGTACATGCTGGATTCTTTTATACAACTGTAGATACAAATGTTGTACAACTTTGCTCCTATGGTTAAAAGTATCAGGCTAATAGTTACTACAGTTCATCAGTAGTCAAACTGCACGCAAGACTAGTGTCATTGTTAACTGCACTATTTAGCCAGGATACCATACCCACTATAATCAGTTTTTCTCTCCTGTATGACAACACTGTGATTGTATGGGATCATTACCATCACCATAAACCAGTATAAAAGGACTGGGTGCTGAGTCAAATGAGTAATAACTTTTCATCATCAATGCATTGGGAAGATAGGTTCTTTGGAGAGACACAAAGACCAAGAACCACCTACATCTAGAAGATAGCCCCATGGAACAAATATGTCCTGAGGAAGCCTCAATACTAGGAATAAAGCTATTTACCATAAAAAACCTATAAGCATCAACACAAAAAACAAAACAATACAAAAAAATTGAAAACAAAAAATAATAAGACACAGAAGCAAAATGCAACCCCACACTCCCAGCACACCTAGGACAAGCCCAGAACATGATAAGAAAGAAGATATCAGAAGCCAACCACTGAAATGTTCTGAAATGATAGCAAGAGAAGTGAAAAAACAAATGGAAGAGGCTATAGAAAAAAATAAGCTCTAAGGTGCAAAAAGAAATAAGGATCACAATGAAAAACATAAAGCAGACACACACACACAAAAACTGGACAGCTCAGGAAAACAATGGAAAGCATGAACGCCCATCATAGGAAAGAAATAGAATCCATAAAATAGATACAAACAGAAGTCCAGGAGATTAAAAACTCCACTGAAAGTACATGCAACTGATTGAATGAAGGTGAGGATAGAATATTAGATTTAGGGGGCTGGGGATTTAGCTCAGCGGCAAAAGCGCCTGCCTGGCAAGCGCAAGGTCATGAGTTCGGTTCCCGGTACAGGAGAAAAACCAAAAAAAAAAAAAAAAGAATATTAGATTTAGAGGACCAGATGGAGGCCAGCAACCATGAAAAGATAAAAACTAGGAAGAGATCATGAAAAGTCAAACAACTACAAGATGAAGCAAAGAAGAACAAAATAAGATTTATTTGAATCATTAAGAAAGCTGGAGTACAAAAGATATCTTAAAAATTCTTCACAGAAATAATGGCAGAAAACTTCCCAAACATGGATAAATAATTTGACATGCAAATAAATGAAGAATATAAAACTCCAAATAGTCATGACAAAATAAATCTACACCAGAGTACATAATAATCAAGATTCCAGAAATTCAGCACAAGAACAGAATAACAAAAGTGGCTAGAAAAGGAAACAAATCATCTAACAGGAAATCCCATCAGAATCACAGCAGATTTTTCAACACAAACCCTCAAATCAAGGAGAGCTTGGAGTGAGGTATTTCAAGCCCTAAAAGAAAACAATCTTCAACCTAGCTTAATGTATCCTACAAAACTATCTTTCAAAATCAGTGGACAAATAGGATAATTCTATGACAACAACTGAAGAAATTTATGACCACCAAACCAGCCCTACAGAGTGCTCTGAAGAACAGTTTAGAAAGAGATAACGAAGACTGCAAACACATGAACACCATAGAAAGAAGCACCAGGCAAGGCAAGCAATTAAACAGAGAAGAAAGGCAGGTAATCAAGAACAGAGAAATAACATGAAAAAGATTAGCTAATACATATCAGTTATAAACATCAATTTAAATGGTCTCAAATCACCAATCAAAAGAAACAGACTGGCAGAATGAGTCAAAAAACAAGATCCAACAATATGCTGCATTCAAGAAACACATTTAACTCAAAAAGACATTCATAGACAAAAAGTAAAAGGATGAAAAACAATTCTACATGCCACAGGAACCCAGAAAATAGCAGCAGTAGCTAGTCTATTTGCAGACAATGTAAACATTAAGCAAAAACTGATCAGCAGATACAAAGAAGGTTACTACATACTTGTTAAGGGAAAACTCTAAGAAGACATAACAATCAGAAATATATATGCACCAAACACCAGTGCACTGAACTATATAAAACAAATATTAACAGACAGGAAAAACCAAGTAAGCACTAACACAATTGTGGTGGGGGACCTCAATACTCCACTCTTAAAATTTATAGATCAATCAGACAAAAAAATCAACACAGAAGTATCACAATTAAATCAAACCTTTGATCAAATGGGCCTGGTAGATGTCTACAGTGTTCCGCCTCAAAACATCAGAATACACATTTTCTCAGCTGCACATGGGACATTCTCCAAGACAGATAACATATTAGCCCACAAAATATGTTTAAGTAAATGTAGAGGAACTGAAATCATCCCATGCATACTATCTGACAATAGCACAATGAAACTTGAAATCAACAACAAAAGAAACCACAAAAACTACATGCACACGTGGAAATTAAACAACACTCTTCTGAACAACCAATGGGTCACAGAGGAAATTAAAGACAAAATTAAATAGTATATACAATTTAACGATAACATGATACAACACACCAGAATTTATGGGACACAATGAAAGCAGTCCTACAAAGGAAATTTATAGTGACAAACTCTCACATCAGGAAAATAAAACGAGCTCAAGTAAAAAACCTAATGCTGAACCTCAAACTTCTAGAAAAGAACAAATCAAACCCAAAGCTCATACAAGGGAAGAAATTATAAACGTAAGAGCAGAAATTAATGCAATTGAGACTAAGAAAACAATACAAAGAATGAATTGAAAAGTTTGTTCTTTGAAAGAATAAATGAAATTGATAAACCATTAAGCTCACCTCATCAATAAAAGGGAAAAAAACACAAATTCAAGTAATTAGGAATAAAAAGCAGAAATCACAAGATCTTATAGAAATCCAAAAGATCATCAGTACCTACTATGAGAACTTATATTCTAAATAAGATGGAAAACACAAAAGAAATAGACAGATTCCTAGATAGTCGAATTGTCAAAACTAAATCAAAAAGATATAAAAATTCTAAATAACCCAGTAACAGACAATGAAATGAAAATATAATTAAACATTGACCAAAAAAGAAAAGCCCAGGCCCTGACAGACACACAGAAGAAGTTTACAAGAAATTTAAAGAACTAATGCTGAAACTCTTTAACGAAACTGAAATGGAAGCAATACTTCCAAAATCATTCCTGGAAGCAAGCATTACCCTGATTCTAAAACCAGAAAAGAACCCAACTAAAAAAGAAAACTACAGACCAATCTCTCTAACAAACATAGATGCAAAATCTTTAATAAGATAGTGGTAAATGGAATGCAGA